ACAACCACCATATGCTAGGTGATGTCAATGGAACTAATGTGTGAGTAAGGCTTGCAGGATCAGTTAGTTTCAGGGACCAGGCTCTCTATGAGCTGAGGGGTGAAAACATTATCTGCTAGCACTTTGAGTTTTTCTTGGGACACTGCTTTCCAGGTAACAGTCCTTCCTTTTGTATCGTACTGTTCAGAAACATGGAATGAAGGTGTAAGAAAGAAATCTCATAATGGAATAGCCTCGCTGTTGGTAAAGTTTCTGCCTAACCCTAAAGCTTATACCCTAAAGCTTGGGAGCATAGTTTATACCCTCGCTTATAAGCTTAAAGCTTGAGAGTTTATACTTTTAACCTACCCTATTTGTTTCCTCTCCCAAGTGTAGGACTTCATATACATATTAGCACTGAATTTTATCTCTGTGGAACTTATACCAAGAACCTTTTGTTGTTGTGCAAATTATTCAGCGACAGATCAGTTTCCAAGTGAAAAACCAGGGGTATAACCAAATCATTTCATGTTTTAAAGAAAAGACCAACATTAAAAAAGCAGAAATATGACAAGTTTGAGGTTTGAAATACTCCAATCTATTTAAAAGCCTTCTGAATTATACATGCATAAACGTAACATTATGCCTAATGATTCAGTTTATCAGTTAGAGGAACATGCTCATATGTGAAGAACAAGGCTTCACTTGTTGATAATAATGTAAAAATCACACGTAGGCCCCGATTCTGCAACTTCTGCATGGAGGTGGACTGTTGCATCTGCATGGAGCCCCATCAAGCTCTCGGAGGCTCTGCATAGGCACAGCAATCTGTCTGCACACAATACATTTCAGGATTGAGACCCAAGAAAGAAGTGGAAGGTTAGGAGACCAAGTTCTTAAATAAATTGTCACAGCTAAGTCTCCAAGAAACATTTTCATGCAGATAAGTTGTGTTCAATTAGCCTATCCAACTCTAATGGCTTTTCCTGAAAAGTGTTGTGCCTGCTGCCATGGCTCATAACGAAGGGTGTCTAAATAACCACATTAACAAAATGTGGTCATCTTGACTACAAATGTGGGTGACTGTCAAGAAAGGAAATCAGATTAGGAGAGACAGGTAATACAAAACTGTAGTACATTTACAATTTGAATTTTAAAATGACAATGTCTGGTAATTTAGGCTCCAGAATTAGGTAGGGTGTGTGTGTGTGTGTGTAGGGTTGTTTGGTTTTGTTTTTTTAAGTTTCATGGAAATGTTTTGGGCACCAATCCTGTGAAATGCTCTTCACAGTTCGACCCATGAGTCCGTGTTAGCCCCACTGACTTCAGTGGTACACTGCATGGGTGTACAGGCATGCCCATGTGAGGAGCTTGCTGCATTGATGACTGAGTGTTGATGAAGCTATTTTTTGTTTCTTTATTTCTTTTCATAATTTTGCAGAATTCTGACAGAGAAGGAAATAAGGAAATTGACTAGAAACTGGCAAGTCTAGTTTCACTGCACAAAGTGCAAAAAGTAAACCAATGTGACCAATGGAAAAAAAGAAAACACAGTTTTGTAAAATTCTTTCAGATTCTGTCTACAGCAGAGGTTCTCAAACTGGGGGTCGGGACCCCTCAGGAGGCTGTGAGGTTATTACCTGGGGGGGAGGGTCGCAAACTGTCAGCCTCCACCCAAACCCTGCTTTTCCTCCGGCATTTATAATGGTGTTAAATATTTTTTTAAAAAGTGTTTGAGTTTATAAGGGGGGGGGGGCACACACTCAGAGGCTTGTATGTGAAAGGGGTCACCAGTACAAAAGTTTGAGAACCACTGGTCTACAATTTGTTGTTACCCAGATACAGATTTTAAAGATAAATATGGTTTTAATAAAAGGAGGTTTCAGAGTAGCAGCCGTGTTAGTCTGTATCCGCAAAAAGAAGAACAGGAGGACTTGTGGCACCTTAGAGACTAACAAATTTATTAGAGCATAAGCTTTCGTGGACTACAGCCCACTTCTTTGGATGCATCTTTTTTTAATATGAATACACTGATGATAGCCTTAAGTGTGGGGAAGCCAGGTATCAGGCTGAAGAGGACCTAACTGCATGGCCACGGGAAACAGCTTATAAGAAACAAAGCAAAGCAGTCTATTCTATAATCTATTCTAGATAGGATTATATACTGCAGTCCTTAAGACATTTAGAAACCTAGTGCTTTTCTCAACACTTGAAAGAACTGCCCACCTAACACAAAGCAGTTGATGCCACAAGCTTTATTACAACATTTAAAGGAAAATGAATCAGTCACCTGATCTGCTTGCTCAGTGAAGGAGTCGGTCATTTTCACAACAACACTGGCATTAGCTTCTTCATTTTCTGCTAGGTCAATGCTGGCAACCCACTGATAACAACAAACAAGAACAAAGAGAGAGTTTTACTTTTTAAATGGATCATTTATCAGTAAATAACTGATATTTTAAAAACAAGTATTTAAGGAGCCATACAGTCTGTACTTTGCCCACTTCACAGCTGGGGTGAAAAACCAATGCACTTAATGATTTGCAAGGAAGGCAGCAATTGGCCAGCTGCAAACTAGCTGCCAAGCTTTACTCGTTCGCGGGGAAGAAGCCTCCCCCCTCTTTGGGGATTAGCTGCTGCAAGGAAGGGTTTAAAGTCTCTTCCTCTGGCAGGAGAAAGGAGTTCGTGGTGTGTCTCGGCGAGATTTACACTCTCGCTCGTCGGTTCTCAGAGCTCTGCAATTCACGGGTCACTGCACGGGGGAGAGCCCTGGCCGCTGGGCCGAAGCAACGCAGAGCGGTGCAGGGCTGCGATACACAGGAACGCGCGTCCTTCGCGGGCAGCTGGTCCCACACACCCCCGCCCCAAGCCATGCAGCGATGGCACTAAGTGCCCAGCCCGCTCTGTCAGTGGTTACCCAGTGCTTGGCTCTGAAATACTGCACGCATTTGGCTCCCAGGGCCCCTCTGCCTCCATACACCAGCACCCTGTGCGCCTCTGCTGCCGCTGCCATGCTCCGTCCACTGTCTGCACGGCTCCCTCTCGCCTTCTGAGCCTGCCGCTGCCAGGGGCTTCGGAGCCCGCCCCGCCCAGCAGCTCCGCCTCCCCGCAGGGCCGCCCAGCGGCAGAGGGACCCTTTCGCTTCCCTCTTCCGCGCTCACCACCGCCATCTAGGCTGGCTGAGAAGCCGCGGGTGGCGCTGCACCAATTCCGCCCGGGCCAGGGATCAGTACAACATGCCCCTGCGGCGGGCCTTCTGTTTAAGTTCGAGGTTTAAATAAGGACGCTTGGTTGCACACCATGGATGTATGTATCTATCAAATGCCGGTGAGACAGCGCTGTGCAACAGAATCCTTTGATAACACAGGCTCTATGTGCATTTTCGATCATTTTCCGCCCCCCGGTGGATTGCCTTTTCGGTCCTATACAGATTTCCCACGCGGCTAGGAGTCATTGTAGACTAGTGGCAGCAGAAACTTTCTGAAACTAATGCATTTTAGTTAAAAATAAAAAGGTCTAGCAAGCAACACGTTAATGCCCCAATACAAGGAAAAGCCAGGGTGCAAATGGTGCTGGAAATTCAGTAGGAGACACTCAGTACTAAGCCAGTGCCCAACCGGCATGTTTGCGAGCAATCCCTCATGGTCACTACGGGCCACACATTGCACTTCATATAAAAATAAAGGCATCTTGGTCAAACTCTAACTCAAAACATTACATCCTACTTAAATTTCTAGCGCATATGCAATGACCCTATATCCCTATATGTTAATTTACCAACAAAATGCAGCTACCTCTGAGGACGGCAGCTATTAAGCAGAACACTACATAAGAACTTAGGGCAGGAAATGTTTGTTCCTTTTAATACATTTGTTAGGTGATCTTATTCTCTGATGCTGGGCTGGGGTAAGAATATGTACACATAGATTAGATAAAAGAATATTAAGTAACGGACTGAATCTGCAGGTGAAATTTAGGTCCACTGTAATCAACAGAGCTGGAATGTATCCAGGACTCCAGGGTTACTCTCCTTACTTTTGCAAATAGTGCTATGTGGGACCTTCACTGACGATAAATGATCAAGCCTTTGGTTTTATATTTTACTCAAAAGACAGCAGCACCTTTTGACAGCACTAGTACCCCTCCACAACTTGTTTAGGCACTAGTCAGAGGAGTATTATGTTACCTACTTTACAGGGATGCTGGGAGGATTAATTGATTAATTAATTTAATTGTAAAGAGCTTTGAGGTCCTTAAGTAAAAGTGCCTATAGACGTGCAAACTTTTTTTTTCTTTCAGTGTTATCTGGTAGTACTTCTGGCATGTACAGTTGTGACTGTTTCTGCACATGTTTACATTAGCAAGTCGCTGGTATATATTAAAGAAGGCTGGCATTGTGTTCTCTAAGCTACAACAAATTGCTTTGCATCCTATTTTATGTGGAAGATTAATCTAATAAATATTTGCATCCTGAAACATCATTTATACACTTCAGTTAACAGGATTGGCGAATGGAGGGTCATAATTTTGTTGTTTACAAACAGTTCTGGTGGCTGTGACAGTAGTGACATTTAGAAAAAGGGGCACCGCAGCAAGCACCAAGGGAAAGACATTTGATACAGCTTCGGTGTCAGCAGAATTCTATTGCCAATTTTTTTTCCACATTACATCCCTTTCACACAATTTGTTTAACTTTTCTTTATAATCCATACAACTGAATTGTGCATCTAAATTTCTCCCATGTGGTCCTTGTCAAGAAATTGGTATCATTTGAGTATTTAAAACAGGGAACAATTAAACCCTCTGATGAAACATTAGTCATGCAATAGATATAGGATTACTTTCTGCAGAAACAAGCACCACTGCACTACAGTGTAATGAAGTTGTTCTTCGCAACCATTTCAGGATGTTGTTGTAGCAAATCTACACTTTGGGCTTGCTTTTTAACCGTGCCTCTGGTTTTAAAATACAGTGAGATTTAAAGGGTGTGTGTGGAATAACTGGCATCTTACTACCTGTGGATTTCTGAGCAGCAGCAAAATGTGAAACTCATCTAATTACTGCCGAGAGGCCTTGGAGATGATTTCTTGAAACTACTAGGATGCCCAACTGCTTTAAAAAGACCTTGTTTGTCTTGGCTTCTGCATTGAGTTTTGTGTCTTTTCTCTTGATTGTCATTGCTATGGGGACCCAAAAGTGGATGACTGGCAAAATCCTTTGTAAAACAGGAGCTGATTTGGTCAACGCCACAGACCCAGAGCTAGTTAAGTTCATTGGAGATATTTACTACGGACTCTTTCGGGGGGGCAAAATACGACAGTGTGGTTTGGGTGGGCGGCGTTCCAAATTCACAAGTAAGTAAAGTTTTGGTTGAATATATAAATAAATTCTAAGAGCATTGTAAGTCCTTTTGTTTGTAGTACCTGTAGAATTGGAATAGTTATTGAACTCATATCTATGGCTCATTTTCCTTGTGGCTTTTATGGTTCTGAAATATGAATGAGAATTTTAAAAAACAAACATTTCGTTATGTTCTTTGGTACAACCTTATATCACTGCATAAGCAGATAAGAAAAATATTCCTTAATTATTATGGGATAGACAGAGTTTCCTTTAAATTCTGTGCTAGGGCCTGTGTATCTCTGTACCACCCTAGGAGGAGTTCTAGGAAGGAACTGTGACTCAGAGCCTCCCCTCCGAGTCAGGATTCTCTTAGAGCTCCTATTTTACATGGGGGAAGGGAAAGTATGTTGTGTTGGTCAACTATCCTTCCCTTGTGTCCAGCTGACTCCAAAGGCTGTAACATAGAGGGAGGAGCCATGGCTCTGCGTGCTCCTTGACTCTCTCTTCTTCCACCATGCCCAGCTGTTTGTGGGAGGGAATATTGGCATACGGCCCCTGCTCACCCACCTGCAAATGCCTGAGCTCAATATCTGGGTAGATCCAGTTCAGGGGAATGGAAGAAGGGGCAGCTTTATATCCCCTTAGTCTCCAGCTCAATCATGTAGGGCTAATTCAATCCTTAATAAATACAGACTTTCTCATCAGGTTGCTATGCAACCTGAAGGGGAGTGCTATAATTGCACAGTGACTACTGGAATGCATGGATATTATACCAAAAGGGTCTGATCCTATAGTGATTATGCAAACCAAACTCCCATTAAAATTGGTGTGACTCTTCCTTGCTAGGACTGCAACCAGATGGCAGAGTTCTGTAAATGAATACGGTATCAAGATTTCCTTTTTTAAAAAATTCTGAGATCTTTAGTTAGATGCTGTGGGCTAACACCTGGCCTCCCCTCGAGAGATTGCCTATGCTGGGTGTGACTGCCAGGCAGGCACTCCGGAGCCATTTTGCCAGTGTGCAGCATACATGGGTAGAATACCTCAGGAGGCCCTAGAGGACCACACTTAATAAGGACCCTTCTTTCCATTGCTTTAGAAACAAGGTACTAAGCAGACCCCCAAACCCAGTGGCCTCAGAGGACTGTGTGATGGGTTATCTGCCCCAGCCCATGATGAGGATGCACAGGAGCTCTCTTCATCCTCTTTCCCTCCTCCACCGTACAAATCTGCAGGCTTAGTCGAATTTTGCCCTGTATGTTTTGTCCTTATGCCCCCTCCCCTAATAAACTGCTTCATATTAGTGCTCCCAGTTTCACACTGACAGTGTGTGCCACAGAAGGCCCTGCCATGATAATTATTCTCTAATAACAAAGGATACTAGTTTCTGTCTCCACACTGCTCAGGTATCCTCCTACCTCCCCCACTCTCCTTCCCTCTATTGGTCCTGTTCTTCCTCAGGATCCAATTTATAGCAAAGCCTGTCAGTGTGGTGATTATTTTTTAACCCAATTAACAACCCAAAAATTAAATAATGGAAGCATAAACTTTAAAAAATACACATGCATGAAGAGCACTGAATTTTTCAAAGTAATCCAATCGACTTGCGTCTATGGAGGCATGGACATCTCAGAGAAGTGGAAGAGTTGCAAGGGATCCTGCATGTGTTACTTCACATAGAGCCACATCAAACCTAAGGCCAGCGCGGATTGGGATGCTCTGCAAACTTTATACAAAATGTAACTAAAACTTGGCCAGCAGCCCAGCAAAACTAGCTGTTACCTAAACTACAACTGAGCCAAACATGGAAAAGAAAAAGAAGGTGAAAGGGGGAGGCTAAAATGGTCAGTGATATACTGACCCAAATAAAAAGGCCTTAGACCATGCCTGAAAAACAGTCATAGAGGGATTCTGCTGAACAGCTTCTTGATTCTGTAGATGGGGTCCCTAAACAGAGAATGGGGGTTCCCTTGCCTCGTTCAGAGTCAACCTGAAAAAGGAGACTGAGAAAACTCATCTGACCGCAGATACATTGGAGGGAACACAAAGGAAACCTTGGGCCTAGATTATTGAGAGCTTTTTATAGGTTGGGCCTGCGGACATGAACTGGCAGGGCAAGGAGACTGGGACTAGGAGACAGAAAAGGAAAATGGAGGTTGTGGGAGGGACTGGGAGCAAGTGGATGTAGGGAAGACTGAGATTGGATGAGATGTCAAGGGAAACTGGGACTGGCTAGGCAAAGAGACTGAGAACCAGTGGGGCATGGGGAAGGGGAAAGATTTATCTGCTGAGCAACCAGGGAGCAGGGGAGAACTGGTACTGATTAGGGAAAGGAACTGGAACAAGGACACAGAGATTGGATGGAGAAAGATTTGGACTACAAACAAGTGGGGATAGGGTCTGTGGTGGGAGGGGGGCAGTGTCTACATGCCAGGTGGGGATGATAGATCGCATGAGGAGCTGGGAGTGGCTGGGAACTGGGATTAGCTGGGCAAGGAGTTGGGGGAGGGGGGCCTGAGAAGGGGAGTTTGGAGGGGTGGGATTAAGACTTGATGGGCAGGGAGACTGGGTGAGAAGCCTGAGAAATAGCGAATGGGACTGGCTAATTGAGGAGAATGAGACTGAGATGACGAGCCGGGTAGGGAAAAGAAGGGACCGGACTGGGACAGGTTGGAGGGAACAGGGTAGAAAGGGTTAGGAGAATGGGCAGAACAGTCTGGACCCATGGGAGCATGGAATGAGGCAGGGGTCCTATGGAAAAAATAGTATGTGACTCTGTAATTAAAAGCTGTATTATAATACATACACACATGGAGAACAGGCAACCTTAACTGTGACATTTCCTAACTTTTGCATACTGGGCTTTGCAACCTTAATAATGTTCTTTTAACTTTTTGTGTGTAGGTGGTGGTGGTATCAAGACAGAAGTAACTTGTTCATTAGCACTATCTATTGAGACTGCAGTATCATATCTAGCCTGCTTAAGGCAGCCTGGCCTGTAGTGAAGTCTCCTAGGCTTACAGCCTGATTCAGCAAGGCACCTAATCACATTTAGTTGCTGTATAAATTTAATACAGATACATAACTATTAGAAATGAGCTCATGGTACTGGGTTTGGATCTGAGATTGTGTCTACATTTGGAACTAGGTGTATGATTCCCAGCTCATATAGACATAGTTGCCCTAGCTCTAATCAAGCTAGCATGCTAAAAATAGTAATGTAGCCAAAGTAGCATGGGGATCAGTGAGCAGTGGCATAGGCTAGCTGCCTTGTGGGCCACAAGGGTGCATAATCTGGGCGGCTAGCCCGTGCTGCTGCTCGCCATTGCCCATGCCACAGCAGCTACACTACTGTTTTTAGCACACTAGCTCAATGACCACTAGTGTGAATATGTCTACTCGAATTGGGAGATCACACTCCCAGCTCATAGCATAGACATATTCTGTATCTGATTTTCCCCAAAGTTCAGGGGGGTACAGGGTCAAAATTCTGCTCCTCTGATGTAGTGAGCAGATAAATTCATCCCTCATGAACTAACACACCTGTATCTACCCAGATTGATTCCTCCCGTAAATAATGTCCTGTTAATTTGAGTGAAAAGCAGTTTATAGCATCAGTATAATGTGTATCCTGTAATTTTCACAGGAAGATTTATACACTGAATAACTGAATATTTGTTTCTTGCCAGTCTTCCCTCATCTGGTGAAAAAGCTGAATGCAGGCCTTCATGTGATGATTTTAATCTTCCTTTGTGCAGCCATTTCCTTTGCTCTGGTCAGTTTTGGATTCTGCATTCTCAATGCAATAAAAGTTCCATACCGAGCTATTAAAGGTCCAGCAGGTATTTGCCTATGGAATTTACTTGCAGGTAATATAATTTTAAAATAATTTTTACTACCAATCACATTTGAATAAAATGGTAAATGTGTACAAAATAAAAACATCTTCCCCTTGCCATATCTATATTTCTCCTTGGCTTATATACTTGTGTGCAAAAATAGAGTTAGCACTGAATTTCCCTATATTAGAATAAAACTATTAGAAGGCATTTCAGCCTTAAGCATATAGTAGATTGTTTTGTATGAACAGGGAATTCACATATATAGCCTCAATATCACATACAAGAGAACTTTAATAGAAACATAACATTGGTGCAATGCTTGGTCACCTAACTAATAAAGGCCCCAGTTCAGGAAAGCACTTAGGCACATCCTTAAATCCATCCTTAATCTGGATAGCACTTAATTATGTGTTTAACTTTAAGCATGTGCTTAAATCATATTTTTGTGAATCACAGCCAAAATGTCTGACTTGTTTTGAAAATGATTAATTATTTTTTTCATTCTGTTGCAGGAGGCTTTACAGCACTGGCAGTCACTAGCTTTATAGCTGCTGTTAAACTTCATCACCTCACAGAAAGAATTGCCAATTTCCAGGAAAATGTCTTTCAGTTTGTAATTTTGGAAGAACAGTATGAAAGCTCCATTTGGCTTTGTGTGGCTAGTGCTACATCTCATGTAGTAAATTTGTTGCTAATAGCCATAAGTGGGGTTCATTTCCCTGAATTCAAGACTAAAACCGAAGAAGCGACTGTTACAGCAGAAGATATCATGTACTGATAACCTTCACCTCCATAAAACTAGTTCTACAAAGTGAACTCTCATGATAAGAACAGCTCCTTGGTTCTGCAACTTTTGAACTGGATGGCGATTGTTGCGGTCATGGACAGTAAAACTGCCACTTGCAGAAATATACAGTATATTTGAGGCCAGTTGTCAGTACCAGCAATTAATATTCATGCAAGGAAGACAAACTATAGAAACCTCATAATTGAAAAACTAACCAATATGGACAACAATAAAGTTATTTTCTAGAATATTTTTCATCTTAAATATTTTACATATCAGAGTTAAAGTATGTTTTCACCAAAACCAAAAAGTGAACTATAGGTAAGGAAGAGAATACATAAATCGCAATACTTCGACCTTTAATTTACTAGAACGCATTTTTATTTCAAAGCAGGAAGAACAGACACAGGATTTAAGGTTTTATCCAGAGTTGCAAGCTATTTCCTCAGAATTCTCTAGAAAATCTGAGAGGGCCAAGTACACCTTGTTTATTGATGTGCTACAGAACTGGAAAAAGCAACAGAGGGTCCTGTGGCACCTTTAAGACTAACAGAAGTATTGGGAGCATAAGCTTTCGTGGGTAAGAACATCTGAAGAAGTGAAGTTCTTACCCACGAAAGTT